TGTTAACCCAGTTCGATGTACAACAACACCTGCTTTGGGGACTACCAAGCCAGAAAGGAAATCCACTAAATAATATCAATTCGATGTTAAACTCCCATGTTTACAACTACTCACTTAATCACTACTCGTGCTATATTTCTACCTAAGACTCACCTAGGTATAAGACCCCTCTCACTTCCCTTACAGTCACAAACAGTGACAAGAACACAATTCAAAATAATTTAGAAGACAAACATCAAAAACACATAATCACTTTATACTTAGAAGCTTAAGAGTGATTGACAATCAAGAAGGAGACACACTCCAATAAACAGAATTCACTCTTGCTTAAAAGCTTATGAGTGATTCACAATTACAACTCAACTAACAGTCTAACTCAAACATTAAACAATACAAGAGTGGCTCACAATGAATAGACAAAGCCCTAATAATTGACACTTTTGCATATATGGACCGTATCTTCTTTAGGTATAGAGTATTCTTTTTACAATCTTTTTCTGGGTTGGATTTAGCTTCAAAAATGCAGCCAAGAGATTGCACAAAGTCTGCAAAAAACTTCTCCATGAAAATAGGGCTTCAATCATAACTTTCTTAAAATGTCTCAACATTTATAAAGCTTGAATAACTTTAATACCATCATATATCTCTGATTTCTCAATCTTGAATGCCATGTAGGATTACTAAATATTCCCAAAATATTCAACGTTTGTAATAAACTAACATAATCTAAAAGTTCAGTTGAAACAGACACGATGTTGAATAATCAGGATAGGATATCTTGTTCAATATGTTTTCTCTGCAAGTTAGAACATCATATTTAACATGTTGCTGCCTAATTTGTTTTACTAAAATTAATGTCAATTATAAAATAGAGAATTAACAAAGTCTAAACTTGGGAACAAAAGAGGAACAAACCCTTAGTGGGGCACGTTCCTCAGAGACGTCTAAGAAAACATTGAGCACAACCTCCTAGAATAAGCTATATCTTAGAGAAATAGAATCAAAACTTAAAGCAACGCATTAACATGTAAACATAATAGTAAAAAAAAACAAAATTAAGATATACACTCACAAACATGAACCATGAAGTTCACTTATCTATCCAAGATACATCATAGAAGAACATTTAGGAAAATAATCAATAGGGGACTATGAATCTGGCTCACCCTAACATAGACCAGCTCCACATTCACCATTTCTGGATCAGGACGAACTTGCTCTTGTGAAATATGCACTATAGGATAAAAATATTCCACCTATTGCAATTCATTCTCGTAGGATACATGCATGGCAGAGAAGTCATCTTCCACTGACTTTGTATACTCCTTTGATATGGAAATACTTTCAAGCCACAACTGCTAAAGGTCGACATTTATCTTCTTTTAACCTTTTGGGACCTCTTTCAAATATACCTCTATCTTCATACGAGAAAAACCTGGTGCCTTGTTTTCCTTAGCAAGAGCATCCTCGACCTTGCTCATTGTTATTTGTGCAAGGACTAGAGCTCCATCCCTCTTCTTTACCTATTGTGCAAGTGACATCACCTTCTCGCCCAACGTATCAGGATACCCAAAATTTTCTATTGTGGCCCTAATCCCCAAAAAAACAATGACGTCGCGTGAAGCTCTTTAATATATTGGTCTCGCTCAATTGTGAGAGCATTGGCGTGTTCTTGAAGCAATTATATTTCTTTTCGAAGAAGGTCGAATGAGAAGACTTGTACCATTTCGGTGATGCCAAAGGCCAATAGTGTCGAAGCCTGATAGGTATGATACACCAATTCCACTAACTCATTTGGTGAGCAACTTCAATCTTGCTCAAAAAATAGGTATAATTCTCTTTAGATACAAAATTAGAAACTCCTCAATTATTCTCAGATCTAGACAAGCAAAGTGATAGGGGTAATGCAATTGGGTTGGTATATGGCCTCTTGTAAAATCAGACCCCCCTAAGTTTTTCTCAAGCATCTAGGGCCAATTAAACAGTGACCCCTCATCATGAAGCGCCTCGGGCTCATGGATAATGATCGGAATCCCCAGCCCTGTGTAGCGACGGGCACAAAGCATCTTCCACTATGACTCGGTCAGGAGAAAGCCTCACTGTCAGAGCCCTTCCAGCAACTGGGACATTAGTAAAGCCTGCCAACACGGGGACAACTTGATGGGTCCTCTTCATTTGTTACATTTTTTTAAATTTCATCTTATATGTGTGCCAAGAGTAGACATGTTAAAAATTAAAGAACCAAAGGAACGCTTAAGAAAAAGAGGATTCCCCATGTTACTGGCCAAAAAAATTCTCCATAGCTTCTTTCGAGTCATCATCCACCAGCAAATGTGTCTTTATGTACCACTTTTCTTGTTTCTTCGGCATTGCATCATAAAGTGTAACACCATCGATGAAACCCAAACCCTCGAAGAAGGATATCAGATTTCATCAACTGGTAAATCTACTCTTGAGACAAATCATCCATTTTAAATATTAAGTTCTGAAGTCCACCAAGAAATGGCCCTGACACCAGTACTTGGGGAGTTTATCTGAAAATGATAAGGAGGTTAAGATTCTATGGAACCCCGTGTTAGCATGAGTTGTCTCGGTGAGATGAGTAACCAAGTACAATTGTTCCTTGAAATGCTTCGCACTCACTGAGTAAACGTCGAACATATTAGTACACTTCCTAAAAGATATTAGGCCTTGACCCCACACTAAATCTAAAAATTTGCATTAGGATTTAAAGAGATAGAAGAAAATAGTTATGTTAAACACTTTCTTCTTGTACTCGCACTAATACCGAAAAACATTGATGTAAACCCGTCTCATCGGATGCAATTGCAAATGATAAATTAATAAATGATTAATAATGTCAACCTCAAATTCATTCAAGGGGAGGCAAAATTCTATCCAAGAAAATAGGCATTCATAAAGAGGAATGACTCACTCATCGTATTTATTACATATCATCTTATCTTCCTCGGGGGGAACACCCCCAATCTAAAAAAGATCTCACCTGGAAAAGGCATGATTCAAGTCGCCCTCACCCATAAAGGGGAAGACGGTATTCAGTGTCTCTTAGTCCACCGTGCTGTCGAGTTGTCCCCAATTGCCTTTCAGATTCTTGATGGATACTCCCTCCGTCCCAAAATATAAGAGAGAGAAAATAAAAACATAATTATTAAGAAAACTAAAAACATAATGATTTGACTTGTGGCTTTTATTGAAAAAATGCGTAGGAAAATGTAAAAATAATTCTAATTGGTTGTTGGTTCTAGAAAAGATGAGAGAGAAGATAAATTAAATGCAATTTGTATTTAATTTTACCTTGGGAAAAATGAAAGTTAAGTTTTTCTCTTATATTTTAGGACAACAAAAATGTATTTTTTCTCTCTCATATTTTAGGACGGAGGAAGTAGTTCTCAATTATAAAGGGTTTTTTTCCAACATATAAGAATAACTAAATATGAATAACATCTCAAAGTAGAATTAAAGATAAATTTTACATCTTTGTCAAAGTACATCTATGAAAAGTAGTTTCATGAAAATGCAAAACAGAAATACCATAAATATTGTAACCCCCTTCTCTAGAAACCTTAAAGAAGAAAGCAAGAACGAAAGAGAATGTGATATGGATGTTACCTCGAAGAAATGAAGTTGATGACCCACACGTTACAGATCTTTCCAAAAGGAGTAGTGCGAATAGGTCAAATATAAAGAACAATGTAGAAAGAATGGCCGCAAGAGAATAAGTTGCAGGTAAGAGAGGAGAAGAGTTCAAAAATTTGCAAATGAAAAATAACGAGTAAATAGTAGTTCCAAAACTCCTTATATGTGTCCCAACATGGGTGAACTGTGCAATCTATTACATTGGAGAGCGTGAATCACACCACCAATGATCGATATTTCAATATGAATGATTCAAAGTACTTGAGTATCCTAAGACATAGAGAATATCATTATCGTTAGACATATGGACACATGTTAGGACTTACTTGCAAAATATCATCGATCAAGAGAAAGATATTTAATGCATTTGTTCTTAAAGCTGGTGACATCTCATCAAGACTTTCCACTTACTTCTGCTAACAATCTGTCTAAAGGTGTGCATGATGAAACCCTCATTCTAAAAAAATAGAAACAATGATTTGAGGCAATTATTTTGGGAGTGAACTCCAAGTAGAAAGGAGCATGAAACAAGTAGACTTTCACTCTAATCATAAGTAGATAATTCCGCCCTCCACACATCAATCATTGTCCAATTCAATTAGACGATTGTCTCCAAGCACCCCATATCACGTGCAAACGATTTCAACCTCTCTTGATTTATAAAGGTAAAATGTGTCATTCAAGAATTTAAATTCATTCTCTCTCACATTACTTCTCATTCTCTCACAGACTTTGGTGTTGGAGTATTAAACTTGCAGGTCCGCCCGCTTCGTCGCATCGTATAGCTCCATCACAATGAGACATAATCCTACCACCTCATCTTCTAGAACAATGTGCTTTTAAATTTGTAAAAACTTGCAAATTCGATTGGTTCAAAATTTAAATTTTGTTAATTTGTATGACTTTTAAGTATTAATCTTATTAAAATATTTCTATTTAATTTAAGTATTAAAATTTTAAAATGTGGAATTTAGTTTAAATGCTAATCTGTCTTTTTTTTAGTAACAATATAGAATGTAATTTAATTATGTTTTCTTTAAGAATTTTAATTAAAAAAATATAGTAACTCATAAACTTGATGAGGCAACACAAAGCAACCAGCTCATGAGAGTAGATGTCAAAAGTAGTGGGTCCCTAGAAATCCGCGAGTGGAACCCACGCACTTCAACAGTCTTCAAAATTAGCCGTTGTTCAACTCACACCATCAGCACCTTATGCATTTCTTATACATTTTCACACTCTTCACACTGCCACACACTCATTCTTTCATGTTCTTCTAACAGCAACATCAACAACAACAACAACATCAGTAACAAACAAAACAACAAACTCCATCTCCGAAAATGGTCGGATTTTCATCTGACACCGATGAAGACTCTACCATTGAAGAAATCATCTCTCAGGCACAAGATTCAATCCTCCTTAAACAAATCTCCGCCATCAATTGTTCATCTTTCACCCATTCCGATCTTCCAACAGACCTCGAATCACGTTTCCAAAAGCTCAAATCTTTCCCTGCTAATCACACCACCCCACCACCTTACCATCCCAAAAATCCCACTTTTTCAACCCTCAATCCAGCAAACCCCCAAAAAAGTCTCAATCTTTCACCTCCCAAAGATGCTAAATCCATAAAGAATCAAGATTCCGATTCTGGGTCGGTCTCTTCTCCCGAGAAAAAGGAAATTAAATCAAAACCAAAACCAAAAAATGGGTCTTTTTCTCCCTCGGATTCTTCTCATATCTCTGAAGAAAGTTCAATGTCTTCACTGTTCATGCCATTGCAAATGAAGAAAGATGAAGAGAAACGTGTAAAGGTGAAGAAGTATGTGTCTCCTAGCCCGTCACCTCCTCGAAAATGGGGTTGTTTTTGGTGCTCTCCTAAGAAGGAGAAGAAGGTGAAAAGCAAGGAGAGTGATGATATTGTTGGGTCATTGGATGAATATACAAGTGATGAGTTCTTGTATGATATTGGAAGCTTGTCGACCAAGAAACGGATGAATATGATTGAGAAAGCATTGAAGGAAGAAGAGGAGAAGATTAACCGTGAGGCTGAGAAGATTGTTGAATTGGTTAAACATGCATCTGCTAGGATGATTGTTTCTTCTGATATTGAGGATGAGTTAAGTGATTATTAGACTATGGAGCATTATTACAAAAGTGTTGCTAATACTCCAAATTGCCTTGTACTTCTATACAAATGTGTTCTTGTAGAATTTAGTAATGGTCTATGTTCTGTTCTATCTGTTAAACAATTGATTGAGCAAAGAGTTTTTGATTTGGGGTTAACACCTTTTAGTATATACTATATTCAAATGCAATGTAAAGTAGTTGTTGTGAAGCATTCAATGTCTTCTGGTCTTGCAATTTGTCGCAGAAGTACAAGCCTACTATGGTATGTTTCAAATTTTGAGCTTGTTTTGGAGATTTTGTTCTTCAATGTCTTTTTATCTTTTCTTTTTGGGGTACATTCTTGCAATTGATAGTTATGATAATGACACATCAAGCATTTTTGGAGGTGCTTGTTCATAAGGAAAGAATTAATGTATCATGCATTTTTTTGACAGATGTATAAGGCATTTTTATTTGTCTTTCCTATTTATTATGTGTATGGTGTTGCTTCATTGAATTGTGAAATGTATCCTGAACATCAAGCGAATCTGCAAAGGAAACTATGTTGGATTATAAGCTGTCTCTGATCCACATGTGTCTATCTGTTTGTGTTCTTAAACATACAAGAAAATTCAAACTTTTTTGCCTTTATCTCTTTCACTCAACATTGAAGATACATTGCATAATGCATGTGTAAAGCTTAAAGTTGAGAATCTGATTATTTTCAGTAGGGAGAAAGAGGACCTATAGAATTTGGTATATATAACTGAATTTGGCTTCGTTATGTTAGAATTGCTGTAACAGATTGCACAATAAATCATTGCGTGAATTATTTTAATGCCATATTATTTTATGTTTAGTTTCTTGAGTGACAAGTCTTATCTGCCACACTTTTTAAGACTATAATAACATAAGAAAATGTTTTAAAAAGCAAGTTGATGCATATGACCTTGAGTCTTATTTGAATATTCATTTTGCTTTCAGTAATCTACTTAAATTAATCAAATCCTTGGGACCAATTAAGTAAGCAAAAGCTATATATCTTTCAGCTACTCTAGCAAAATACTATTTTACATAAACAAAAAAACAATTAGTTTATACATAATGATACATTAAAACTTGTGTTAATACAAAGTTTCTCACCATGTATCATTCAGAATTACAGACAATCTTAATATAATATGGACATTTATCCATCTCAAAAACTAAAGTTCCTTAGATGACCCTAAGGGCTTAAGCAAAAATGCAAATCATATATCAATCTACACATTTGAACTGCTGCTATAAATTAATACAATTTGTGCTTACATGTATAACATACTGCGCAGATCACAGAACCACCACCAAAAAAAAAAACTGCAAGCACGTGCTGTGGCTTTCGAATTGCGCCTAATCCATAAATATGAGAATGTACAGTTATTGTCACACCTATTTAAAACGATCAATGTTGGCATAACTTCGATGTTACTCCGGTATCTTGTTCGCTGGTACTACGTCCTGTCTCTGTACATATGCAGAGGGAAACCATCCAGCGTTGCCATTGCATTCTCCTTCAGACCATCCATTCGCAGCAACCTGGAAATTCAACCACCAAAAGGAGAATAAGAATGCAAGTCAAATCAGATAGCATGGTTTCATTGTCAATAAAGATTGCTTGCTACCTACTTTCACAAATATTCATAATTAATAGTAACATCATCGTTATTATTATTATAACTTATTTTTGTAATGATTAAGTCAACTGTAACACTAAGTGGAAAATGCTTAGCCATATGAATATTCTAATGGCTAATATTTTTTTTTCAAAAGTATGTCTTATGAAGTTCAGCATACTGACTCGAAAGTCTTCAAAGAAATACCTGACGTATTACAACATAATCGTCAACTGATAAACTTAACTCCCCTTCAGCTTGAGCGTCAAACGTATGGATGACCTACAAGACAAATGATGATGATGAGCATAGTTCAATTTCAGAATGTAAATATAAGAATGCACTGGATTGAGATCTTACATATTTTGAATGATTCTAAAAGATCAACACAAGTTATTCTTTTTTTTTTTTGCACCAAGATTTTTTTTTTGCGTGTTTGTGAATGAATAAAATGAACTTCTCGTGGCATTCACTATCTTACACACTGTTTCCCATTTAAAAGAGGTAAGTGGATTAAGATCTACATATTTTATCGCTCAAGTAAATCGCACAAATATAACATATCAAACATCCAAAATTCTTATAAGTGAGTAGAATAAATATTAACATATAAAAGAAATGAAACAAAGATCAAGATGAGATATTAGTTGCAACAAAACCAAAGCTAAATTATCAGGATAGGCTGTTTTGAGCAACAGTCAACTGCAGGAATATGGTGGTATGTAATGTAGGGTCACTAAATACAAACTTATTATTTCTTTATACACGACTTGCCTTTGCAAAAAAGTATGTGCCCATTTGGGTGTCGTGTTTATAATCAATGCCATTTGAATTAAGTTTCTCATCTGCGGGTTGATTATATCCATCTTTTGGGAGTGGAAACGATGTGGGCTCTTTTGTTTGTCTCTCGTCAATCATGATCATCTAACTCCAAGAACATCCAATAGAAGGAACAGGTTACAAGTTTGATCAGAATATAAATATTATGCCAGATGCGAACATATACAACAGACATAGGAACTAAATATTTTTTTCCAAATTGAAAGAAATGTAGGTTAACATAGTAGCTAACCTCAGCATATAGTTTATCTAGAATCACAAGGGCATGCCGGTGATAGGCTCGCTCAGCATCCACCTGCCAAGAAAAGGAACAGATGGAAAGGTGAAAAACAAGATTTCCTGTTTGGATGGACCAGAACAATTTGCTTAAGGTTCAAACATTAGATAAGATACCTCTTTATGTATCGCAAAAACCAAAAAAAAAAAATCATTAATTTAGATTCTCCTAAATATTTTGAACCATTGCCATAGAAAATTGATCAATATCGTGTTACGAAATCTAATTACTACTTATAGTCTATCATTTCAAGTAACCAAACCCTGCATTTAGTGTGAAGATTTCATTTTAACCCGATCGGTTCTACAACCTAATGGATGAACTGACTAGAAAATATGTATTGTAAAAACATGTGGATTTTCTTATCTCTTCTCAAATTTTCATGTAGGAGGCAACTTGGCCCATGACAAACTAAAGACGTGACTAACAAATATTTACATATTCAGAATTTTAAAAGTTAACGTCTATTCAGCTGTTAAAATAGCACATGAAAGCCAAATTAGTAACCAATGGAGTGTTAACGGAAGGTTTCAAATCAGTAAAAAAAATCAAATCAGCAGTCACACAGCAAGATGACTTTCATAGAGAATCTAGTAATACCGATGTAGAAAGACTCTGCAGAGTTATATGTTGTTGTTGTTCTTCAACTGACAACATAGCAGAAGTTGCTTCTCTACCGAGTGCCACCAAGGCAGATTTAAGTTCTTTCAACCTTTTCTCTGCATTCTGAAGCCTCATGGAACTGTCTGAAGAAAGAGAAGAATCCCTCAACTTCGATCGACGCCTCAAAACTTCAGCAGCCTGTGAGAAGATATCTAAGATAAATACCACGCATTGCATACCACCATATGCATGCCATTGTGGCAGTAAATTACTACCTGGCCTTCTACTTCTTGACGAAGTTTGTCGTAGTTGTGAGTGAGGTGGCGTGCATCTTCCAAAGGAGCTCCTGTTATTTGTGCCCGCAGTGGCTCAGAGATCTATACAAAACCTAAAGCATAATTAGAAGCACCATTTTTGTTTGTGAAAAAATTGAAGACGCAAAATATGACATACAGACGACTGAAAAAGACGGAAAAATCTAAAACTATAGGAGCAACATTACGAGTAAATCAGATAGGCATGATGTTGCGCTAAATGACATTAGTTTGTACATTGATAACATCAATTACTTAAAGGTATCGTAAGGTTATAATTCACAGAACGAACTCGTAAAGACTACACTAAGAGTATCCAAGAAATATCCCAAAAGATTACCTGATCACATAAGATCCCAAGCAAAGTCTCCCTCTCATTTTCCAATAAATCATATGAATTACCGAATTGAAGAGAAGCCCTTGCAAGGGGATAATTACTAGCGTGATCCTTATTTTCAGTCCCATACTTACAACAGTCCTTAGCCAATTTCCTCACTGAAGTATGCACAACATAACATCAATCAATTATTGGCTTTGAGACATAAACACAATTAACACATAGACAAAAAGAAAAGTTCACCTATCTCCATCTGCTTGGAACTAACAGAGATGAATCCTTCAATACCACGAACAATATGCCGCTGAAAATGCTGTAAGAATCACACAGGTTAAAAACTTTACCAAACAAAGCTCCCTGAATTTAATGAATGTCAGCAAGCATCCAACTGATAAATGGAGTGATAATAGAAATACACCTTAGCAGTCTTTGTAGACGTGTATAATTTTTGAAGTTTCTGGTAACATTCAAGTTCAGATTCATCGGCCATGAGGGGTTCATTGCTAAGTTGACCCAATTGTCTAAGTATAGTCTACAAAACAACAACAACAACACGATAAGAGACAAAAGTGAAACACATGAAACGAAACTACTATTACTACAATTCTACAAAGTAAATGGAACAAACAGTTCACAAACAGAATCTACACGACCGTTCCTAAATTGAAGTTAAATTGATAGTATTATAACATAACCCCATGCTACAGAAGCAATTTCAACCTAAATGGTAGCATAAAAAGCACTGCTAAGAAAAGGAAGAATAGTAATGATGAGTGATGATAACCTGTTGTTGCTTGGCAACTTGTTCCCTTAATCTGGCAGCTTGCTTCCTTATAGCATCCATCTTTCTCTCTCTTTTTTTGGAGTAAGGAAAATGAAATTATCAGAATACGTTTGTGGTGTTTTCAGAATTGGTTGGAGGAGAAAAGAGAGGCATAGGGATGAACAAAATAAGGATTGATTAAACTACCTGGGACTTTCCAGAGAGAGAGAGAGAGAAGAGAAAGGTTGTATAATAATAATGGAATGAATGAGTGTGAAAGCGAAAAGTGCAGTGTTAGAGAGAGAAAGAGAGAAGAGGTTAGAGAAAAAGTGTCTTTTGAAGAGTTACGCCGGACAGACAAGGACACGCGCTTGACTTTCGGTCGTCACTTTCACCAATTAACTCTTTTTTACATAATCTCCTCGTTTAATTATTTACTAACTCAATACTATACCTAAACATACTATTAATTCTTTTGATTACTAGTACTAATCAATTTTTTACTTAATTGAAAATCATTTTATGAACTAATTCTTTGAATTAAATTCAAATTTTTGAGTAATTCTGAATCAATTTTGATGAATAAAATTTAATTTCACCGATCGAAATCTTTGTTCTTCATTTTTTATTTGATTGAATCAATCAACATTGATTGTAAGATGATTATCACTACACAATAACAACGAAAAGAAAATAGAACTGGGGAAGAAGAAGAAGTTAGGGTTTGAATAATGGAAGATGATTTTGTGAATTTTGCAGAGTAAACTCTCTGTCCTTTATTATGCAAACTACAATATTATTCATTGTATTACAAAAAAAATGATTACTCTCTCTATTTATAATTTTAGGTTAGCTTGCTCTCTAAGGCAAAGGCGAAAACACAAAAACCTAAAATATCTATTTTGGTCTAAGTTGAAATCATGTGTCAAGCAACCTACTTCAACACTTCAACATCTAATACAACTCGACACACACACACACTAGGCTAATTTTGACACTCTTGTATCTGTCGAGCAACATGCTGCTTCGACACACGGGATTACCATCTCAATACACCACATAATTCATTGTGTCTAAGCTATCTACATTCATCATAGATCTTAACTTTTTAAACACTTTGATATGCACTCCTTTCATCATGATGGTTGCAATCTGATTCTCAGTTCTGCAGTGTTCAAAGTTCAGCTTCGCTTTTGCTACCTGCTCTTGAAGATAATAGAATCTCATTTCGATGTGCTTCTTTTGACCATGTGTTATCAGATTCTTCGCCAGATTGATAGTTGACATGTTATCGATCTTCATGGTAATTGTTCCATGATCATTCCCTGTAATCTCTTTGACTCATTTCACCATCCATATTGCTTGACATGCATAAAGAGAAGTAGTTATGTGCTATGCTTTACATGATGATAGTGCTACTATTGGTTCTTTTCTCGAACTTCAAGCAACTGGTGCACCACCTAGCATAAATACATAACCTGGTGTGGATTTTGTATCCTCAACATCATTACACCAACTTGAGTCGGTGTAACATACTAACTTACATTTTTTTCCTTCATCGACTCCAGGAAATAAAATGCCATAGTCGAGATTTCCTTTGAGATATATACCTCAATATCCTCTTTGTTACTGCTAGGTGTGATACATTTGGCTTATGCATGAATCTACTTACCATACCTACACTGTATGTTAAACCAGGCCTTGTAAAAAAAGATATCTTAGTGACCCAATAAGTTTTTGGTATTGGGTTGGGTCAACATCATCTTCATCTGAATCTTTTGACAATTACAGCTTGATTTAGCAGGTGACGAAGTCGAGTTACATTCTTTCATCTCAAATCTCTTGAGAATTTCACTTGCATATCTTTTTTTATACATCATAAAACCTCTACTACTCTTGTAGAATTTGATGCCAAGGAAATAGGAAATGTTGCCCAAATCAGACATTTTGAATTCCTTGCTAAGATCACCTTTGAAGTCTTCGATCTCTTTCTTACAGCTATGTGTTTTAACAAATCATCGACATAGAGACACAATATAATAAATCCACTCTTACTTCATCTTAAATATAGTCCATACTCAGTTGTGCACTTCACAAGTTCCTTCTCCCTTAAAAAGTTATCTATCTTCTTATTACAATCTCTTGGAGCTTGTTTAAGTCCATACATAGTTATATGAAACCTGACCTTTCTTTCTTTTCCATGCTTCACAAATCCAACTGGTTGTGCAACATAAACTTCTTTTTTTAAGGGTCCATTTAGGAATGCACATTTTACGTCCATCTGACACATGTGCCAACTGTTTGTTTGTGCTAGACCAATAACCAAACCCATTGTTTTGCCAAAAGTCTTGCCTTATGTCGAGTGACTTCCCCTCTGGGATTCAAATTCCCCTTGTATACCCACTTCACATCGATTGCATTTTTTCCTTGTGGCAATTCGACAAGTGACCAAGTGTTGTTGTCTTTTATCGACTTCACTTCTTCATTCATTGCATTCATCCACTTCAAATCCTTCAATGCCTCAGTTGCAGTGATTGGTTCGACATCTGCATAGAAATTATAATGTACCAACTCACCTTCATTATTGATTGCATCATCTGATGTAATCACACATTCTTGCAAACTTGCAGACACGTGTCTTGTTATTTGACGTATGCTTGGGCCTACATCACCTCTTACTTCTTCATGTTGAACTTCTTCTCTTTCGACTTCAGTTGCTAGTTCTTCACATAAGATTTTTACTGGATCTTTATTTACATTTTCATTCCAATCTCATTCCTTAAGTTCGTCTATGGTCACATACATGTTGATCACTACTTGCTTGTTCATTGGGTCGAACAACTTGTAACCTCCAGTCAAATGATATCCTATTAGGATTATTTAACTCGACTTGTCATCAAGTTTTCTTCTCAAATAATCGGGCACGTGTCTATGTGCTATAAATCCAAACACTTTTAGATGACTCAAGCTAAGCTTGACACCAGACCAACATTCTTATAGCGTAATTTCTTCTAGCTTCTTCGTCGAACATCTATTCAAAATGTGTCGCTGCCGACACAACTTAACCCCATAATTTTTTGGGTAAATGCTTACCTTTTAACATACTTTTAACCATATTCATGATGGTTTGATTCTTCCTTTAAGCAGTTACATGTTGTTGTGGAGTGTAGGGTGGCACCACCTCATGCATAATCCCTTCTTTTTTCACATAAGATGTCGAAGTATTTCAACACATATTCTCCACCACCTTGTAGTTCCTTTCGACCAACTGCCTTATACTTAGTAGATTACTTTCCATGCTTGGTATATACAATACATTAGAAATCAATGACCTTTTGCCATCTTTCCTGAAATTTTGGTATGCAGATATCAGATGTCCTAAGAGATGTTGAGACACTGATATCTGATCAAAATACAATGACAAGATAAACACAGTTAAAAATACTGAAAGTAAACAAATACGCAGAACTGTTTACCCAGTTCGGTGTACAAAAACACCTACGTCAGGGGGCTATCAAGCCAGGGAGGAAGTCAACTAAATAGTATCAGTTTGTAGAACCATAGCAAACTACACCAGTTTACAATCTACTCACCTAATCATTATTCGTGCTTAACTTCTACCTAAGACTCACCTAGGTATGAGACCATTCTCAATTCCTTTTCAATCACAAGTGTGATGAAAAATCTAATACTTAGAATATTTCAGAAGTCACACTTCAAAGACACACAATCACTCAATGCTTAAAAGCTTATGAATGAATAATAGAACTTATAACTCAATAGAGACAATCCTACTCTTATATCAAGATGATATCAAAGAGGCTCATAATAAACAAGAACACACAAACCATAAAAGTACACTTGACAACACAATACATTCCACACCAAATTAGGTTTGTGATCTTCTATTTTATAAAACAACTTCTGAACTGGATTTGGGCTTCAAAAACGCAGCAAGGCAGTTGCTGAAAGTCTCCATAATTTTATGCATAACAATATGTCTTCAATCTAGTGTTTCCTAAAATATCTCCATATTTAGAAACACATAATATCTTTAAATTTCAAATAGAATATGTGATTCCTCAATCTTGAACGCCACATAGGATAATATAATATTCCCATAATATTCTGTAATCATTAGTTAACCAAGTAAATCCAATTTGTAAACCTGTAACAAGCAAGATATCAAGACTCTGAGATAGGATATCTTGTTCAACATGTTGTTGTTGGTTAGTTTTACCAAAATTATTGTCAACCATAAAATTAAAGAATTAACAATGTTCCCCTTTGGCAAATTTTGGATAAAATAAACTAACAACCCTTACACGTAAACACAACAATCCAAATTACACAAGAACACCATAGGTTTGAAAATAAATCAAACACATAATCAGAAGTACAATAATAGAAAAATTAACATCAAAAGTATCAGACTATCAGAGTTATTAGTAGCGAAAAAACATTAGAGTATCAGACAGTAGAAGATACTAAGCACAAAGAAAATTAAATTCTCAGTCACATTGATGTCAGGACATCATGTCTAACATCTCTTCTTCCAGAACAGGGACTCCCCCTCAAAACCTGTTGAGATAAACACCAGAGAACCAGATAGTTCTCCCACTCAATAGTAGCTAGCAATTAATGGTTAATTGTTAGTACACATCAATATTACTCCCCCTTTTTAGCCATAATATAACAAAGGTAAGAAGCTAACCAAAGCATTAAAACCATGTTAGCACAATAAGTTAAGTACACAAATGGTGTTAAAATATGTCTGGTCATAGAACCCTTACAAAACCATAAACCAAAGGCAAACAAAAAAAACACAACAGTAGTCATGCATTAGCATCGATATCATCAACAATTTCATACTCTTTTCCTTCATCATCAGCATCATCACCATCATATGCACTCTTTTCAGCAATATCATCACATTCAGATGCACTCTTTTTAGCAACACCAGCACCTTCAGATTCATCACCCGCGGATTCACCACTATCAGCAGCAACACTAGTAGATCCAACCTGGTTTTCCTCTTATTCCATCAATGCTTTAATTAACCCCTCGAGCTTGATCTTTCTAACAGTGTCAGTCCTGATAGAGTCTTCCAATTCCCTGCATGTCTCCTGTTAAACAATTATTTATTTCTTTGAAGTTACAGGACCAAGTACTTTAGAAGATGTCAGGACAATGTCTGAAACATGCTCTCGACCAAACAATTTATAATGTAAAGTCAAAGGATATTCCCTTTTCTTCACACTATCAATAGCCAATAAAATACCAGGGTTTTGTTTCAAAATAGTTCCACAAATGAGAGAAGGAAAACAAATAGGCATCTTCACAGCATATGAGGATGCTTGCTTCAGAAATTGATCAAAGATGTATTTTCCAATATCAAAAGCCCTTTCTTTTCCAACAACATAGATGAACTTACCAAGGCTAGTAGTAATGGTAGAGGTATGGTTTGTAGGAACCCAATTAATAGTAGCAACTCTATGAAGAATATCATATTTCACACTAAGTCTTCCAACTGACAACTTTCCTCTATTTGGCCAGCGCTTCACTTGCCCACCAGTGCTTCACCTGCCCAAAATTTTTTTATCATAGCAGGAGAGAATGTCACAACATTTCCCTTAACATATATTTTCCTGTAGTCTTCACTCTTCACATTATCACATCCATCAAGGATATTCACAAAAAACTCCTTGACTAATCTTTCATAGCAAGGACTAAACTTTGTGACAGTCTTCAGCAAACCAGCCACCTTTATAAGCTCCACAACCTCCTTACATTTTTGGAAATCCTTACCCAATTCCCTTTCCAAAGCTATCATCCTTTGTTCAACAAACTACCATTTTTCAACATTCTCTTCAGAATAAAAAGTCACATTGTTCACTGAAGCCTTGTGAGCAGCAACACAAGTCTTCTTAGAAGCAGACTTATTGATGGGAATGATGTCCTGGACATCTTCACCAGCTTCAAATTCAGAGTCACTAGAAGAAACAACTTTCCTCTTCCTTTAAGGAATGACAACTTTACTCCATGACTTAGTAGGACCAACCTGAGATTTTCCTTTGACACTTCCAGAGGGAGTGTTCTTTATATCACCTTATTTCCTTTTGATGTCCTTAGAAGGTGAATCTTCAACCATCACAACATTTCCTTTTCTTTTATGAAGTCTCTTGGCTATTCCAAGATCCAATTGTTTAGTAATGGATTCCTCATAAGATTTTAGGTAATCAATATTGATAACAACATCAGCCTTCTTCCTACTCCTTCTTTCACGAGCAACTTGATCAGAAACACAATCATTAGTCTCCTCACTAGGCTTTTAATTAGGGCTAGTTTCTTTCTTTAGGGATGTTCGAACATCTGGCACAACATCTGAATCTACTTCCTTCAAGACAAAAGTGACAAACTTCCTGAGACGCTTATCACTGTGAGCCTTTTCAGCTTCAGTAGGGCTCTTCTTCTCTGAATCAGAGGACCTAACATTCTTTGAAGCAAATGATATTATTTTCTTTTGAGCAGGTTAAGTGACAATGGATAAGAGGGCGATATCCAACACATGATCAGATAGGTTGATCATTCGGTATGGTTCCTCAACCCTAGAGTGTGACAGAGATGACCGTTGGTCTTCTGATGGAACATGCATGTGCTGGGATGATGAATGTTGAGACATTTTTTACCTTACTTGGAGCAGATGATTTGTTAGAACACAAGTGAAGTAAGATGACCACAAATTTCTGAGAGAAGACAAATGAGATGTTAGAACAGTGGGTTTGGTATAGGTAGAGTGTTTTTGTCTAGCAAATTAAAATTTGGAGTAGTGGGCTTAGGTAAACGTGGGAGTCATAAAATTTGAAAATGCGATTGACCCGCATAAATAGAAATAATTGCTACAAGTCCTTATAAACACAAATGCCAAGTTTCACTCTTAATTTTTCAAATTGTACAATATCCAAGGCTTTAGTAAAAATATCAGCAAGCTGATTTTCAGTGCTAACATGCTCAAGAATTATGACTTTGTCTTCAATAAGTTCTCTAATGAAATAATGCTTGATATCAATGTGCTTAGTCTTGATATCAAGAAAGTGTGTTAATTCACCTACCAGACTCGTCTTAAACTCAGATTACATATGTCTGACAAAATGTTGGACCATCTCATCCGACATCCCTTCAAAAACAATGTCATCCACATAGATCTGAGCTATCATAAGTTTTCCACGCTTCTCTTTGACAAAGAGAGTTTTTATCAATTCCACCCTTTCTATATCCATGGTTGATGAGAAACTCAATTAACCTCTCATACCAAGCTCTTGGAGCTTGTTTTAACTCATAGAATGCCTTCTTTAGTTTGAACACATGATTTAGGAAAGTGGGGTCGATAAATCCTTTTAGTTGTTCAACGAACACTTCTTCATTTAAATTTCCATTTATAAAGACACTTTTAACCTCTATTTGGAACAACTTGAACTGTAAAAAGCATGTCCCTCCAAGTAAAAGTCTGATAGACTCTAAGCGAGCCACAAGAGAAAATGTTTCATCAAAGTACACTCCTTCAATTTGAGTGTATCCTTGAGCAACAAGTATGGCTTTGTTTCTGGTAAAAACACCTTGTTCATATGACTTATTCTTATACATCTATTTTGTACCAATAAAATTTACCCCTTCAGGTCTTGGTACCAAGTCTCAAACCTTATTTATTTTGAATAAACCAAGTTCATCTTGCATAGCATTAATCCATAACTCATCATTCAATGCTTCTTTTATATTATTTGGTTGAAATTTTGAAACAAAACAAGCATTTGACACAATTTCCCTTGATCTGGTGATTATCCCTTCATTTAAATCTCCTATTATAAGCTCTTTAAGATGATCTTTCTGAATCCTAATTGAGGTTCCTTTGTCAGTTGTCTCAGTTTCTTCAGGTTCAGTATTAGTACTTGAGTCTGCAACATCTTCAGAAACATCATTATTCATGGGAATAGATGTTTCAACATCATCTGTGACATCAACTTCTTTTGTTGAGTCATCAATAAAAACATTTATGGATTCCAACATCACCTTAGTTTAGGAGTTGAATACTCTATATGCTCTATAGTTTGTGGGATATCCCAAAAAAAATTCCCTCATCACTTTTAGGATCCATTTTCCTCCTCTGCTCAAGATCTGCCAAAATGTAACACTTACTTCCAAAGATATGAAAATACTTCACAATAGGCTTTCATCCTTTCCAAAGTTCATAAAGTGTAGCTGATGTACCAGATCTAATAGTCACTATATTATGGATATAGCATGAAGTGTTCATAGCTTTAACCAAAAAATGGTATGGAAGTTTCTTGGCATGAAGCATGACCCTAACACATTCTTGAATAGTTTTATTCTTGCATTCTACCACACCATTCTGTTGAGGAGTGATGGGTGAAGAGAACTTGTGACTAATCCCTACGGAGGTGCATAATTCATCAAACTTGATATTTTCAAATTCCTTCCCATGGTCACTTCTAATTCTGAAAAATATCACAATTCTTATCTCTTTGAATCCTTTGACACAATTCTTTGAAAACATTAAACATTTCATATTTCTCATTGATGAAATTCACCCAGGTGAACCTTGAGAAGTCATCAAATACAACATAGGCACACCTCTTTCCTCCAAGACTTTCAACCTGCATAGGTCCCATCAAGTCCATATGAAGTAGTTCCAGAACTTTTGAAGCGGTCAGATATTGGAGCTTCTTATGTGACATCTTCGTTTGCTTCCCAATTTGACATTCACCACAGATTCTTCCTTCATCAATCTTCAGTTTGGGAATACCTCTAACAGCTTCCTCAGACAAGACTTTCTTCATACCTTTCAGGTGTAAGTGGATAAGCTTTTGATGCCATAATTTGACTTCATATTCTTGTGACATTAAGCATGTGGAGAGATATTATGTTTCTTGAGGACTCCACAGATAATAGTTATCTTTTGATCTGGTTCCCTTCATGATAACTCCATTCTTATCATTTGTTACTAGGCATTCAAATTTAGTAAAGTTAACTTTGATACATTGGTCACATAGTTGACTAATACTTATCAAATTAGCAGTTATCCCCTTAACAAATAGCACGTCATCAATATTAGATTATCCTGTATAGTCTTGCTTTCCAACACTCTTTATTTCTACTTTTGATCTATCTACAAAAGTGACATAACTAGTGGAATGTGATTTAATATCCTTCAAGAATTTCTTGACACCAGTCATGTGTCTTGAACACCCACTATTAAAGTACAAATCCTCTTTGACAGAGGCTCTGAGAGAGGTGTAAGCAATGAGTCCATAGGTGCCATTTCTGGGAATCCATTTCTTCTTTCCATTACCCATATTCTGTTATTTTTTAGGTTGTGCAATAGGTTTGGGATAACCATATAATCTGTAACAGTAGGGTTTTATGTGATCAAACCTTCCATAATAATGACATCTCCATCTTTGAGTTTTTATTCCTGAGTAATTCTGATGTCTTTGCTGATGTTGGGACATTGGATTTGACATATTTTGTTCTTGTTTTTGTTTTGGGTAAACAAACTTCACTTCAGGCCATTTTCCTTTGTTCTTCACAGCTTGATTATCACAACTAAGACCTTTAACATTACCAGCATTTTTTCCAGTCTGAAGAATCTCATCCGACACATCAAAACTATTGTTCAGCATCCTCACATATTTAGTCATATTGTCAAGTTTAGAATTGAGAAATACAACCTCATCTTTCATATTAGAGATGATAGATAGATGCTCCACCTTTTCATCCTATAGTTGAGCAATGACTTTCTTTTGGTCTTCTCCCAGTTGATAAACTTTTTCACTTATGAGGCACAACTCCTTGTATGAAGCAGCAAATTCCTCAAAGGTGAGCTCTTCATAATCTGGCTCTTCATCAGAATCATAAACTACAGTCAAGGCAGTAACCTGTTTGGCCGCTTCTTCTTCAGGATCACTTTCAGAATCATCCTCTGACCATGAGGCAGATATACCCTTCTTTTACTTCTTGATATAAGTGGTACATTCAACTCTTATGTGTATAAACCCTTCACATCCATGACATTGGATTCCTTTCCCTTGGTAAGTCTTCTCTTCAGTTCTGGACCTTCTCCCAAAATCCTGATTTTTACTGATGTCGAGTGACTTGTTCTTGACATTTATCTTGACTTTCAGTCCATCTTCTTCATTACTTTGTTGAATTGTCATCCAAGTAACACAATATCATTAGATATCCCTTTATTTGTATCCAGATCACATTCATCTTCTGAGTCTTCAGTATTAGTGACAAAGGCAATGCTTTTCTTATTTTTAGACTTTTCACTTATCCCTAATTCAAAAGTCTACAGAGATCCCATAAGCTCACCAACCTTCATGTTGTTTATATCTTGAGATTCTTCAATGGCAGTCACCTTCATGTTAAACCTTTTTGAAAGAGATCTGAGAATTTTTCTCACCAACTTAGATTCTAAAATTTTCTCCCCCAGGGCACTTGAGGCATTGGCTATCTCAATAATATTCATGTGAAAGTCATGAGTACTCTTATCCTCCTTCATTCTTAAGTTCTCAAACTTGGTGGTGAGTGTAATACAGTGGGAGAACTGACTTTTGGTTTTGCATTTTAACGCAAATATTGCAGATAGCAAGAGTCGCCACCGACTTTTCTTTTATCCAATAAAGGAAAGGGTGAAAAGAACAGGAAAGACCTTTTAAGAATTTTTCTTGAGTTAGGGGGGTAGTGTTGTACCCCAAAATTTGCCCTCTCATTTCTCAAGACATTTCCCACAAGATCTTCAATAGCTCAAGCTTGCACAAGGATTGACTAGGTCAAGACATCTCCTTAACACTAATGCCTCAAATTAGGGTTTGAATTTTCATAAGGACAATTGGACTTTTAATGCCTCATATGATTTTCATGGATCTATATGGACTTTCAAGATTGCTCATGTCAAGTTTCAAGTCTTGTAGTTCAAATTTGCTCAGTCAATTGTCAGATAACCTAAAATCAGTTGTATTGGGTAAAAAGTCAATTATGGTCAACTTACAATCAAATTTCAAAATTTTTGGTCCATATCAACATTTTGAACTCATATGTATCAATTTATCAAGTTTGGATCACAATTCCCCAAGAAAATTGATCAGATCAATCAAAAGAGCAAAATGGTCAAAATTAAGGTTTTGACTAAGAAGGCTTAATTTTTGACTTTTGACCTAATACATGATCTAATGGCTTGGAGCATAATATCAAGGATTCAAATACAACATGTTGACCTGATTTCATGACTCAAAATATTGCTCAAGATCAATTGATTGATGTTGAAATTCAGTCAACTGATGAAAAGTCAACCGATACACCAAAACTCAAACTTTAACTTTTTGATCAAATTTGAGTTTCAAAGATCACATTTCATCAAGACATTCAAAAAGATGAAACTTGATAATAAATAAATCAAGAAAGTCAAAATTCATTTT